TTTGGGGGGGGGGGGATTATAGAAATTAATACTTTTATTTAGGAAGGATGCTTTAAATTGATCAAAAGTGATAAAGACATTCATAATGTTTCAAATTATTTCTATTAATAAATGCTGATCTTAAGAACTTTCTATTCATCAAAGAATCCTGAAAAATTCTACTCAACTGTTTTAAACATAATAATAAATATAGCTGCAAGCAGCAATGACCGGGGTTTGTAAAGAACATATTAAAAGATTACCGGTTTATAGTTGTCCAAATGCAAATGTTCAAATTTGGTTTGATAATTATTGACCTACAGAGTCTAGAGAATAGTACTGCACTGATTTGATTGATTTTGAGTTCAAAACTGAGGACTAGTTCACAAAAGTAGGTTTTTAAAATAATCTCAAATATTTAATGAACAGTTTGTTTGACAGCATTGGTCCCAGAGGTAAAGTTCTTCAGAATGAGGAGATCTATCATATGATATGAAGATCTAGTGTTCGTGTACATATATGAGATTTTTTTAGCAATTTGAGGCCATTTACCATTGAAATCTTGTGTATTTGAAGCCTTTTTAACTGTTATTGCGCCACCTATGGTCAAATCTCTATAAAACTTTGCATGCTTGTTAAGTGTCTTCTGACACATGTTTTCACCAAGTTTTGTAAAGAGAGTCCAGTGAATATTACTGCAGTGGTTTGATCGAGATTGAGCGAAAAACCTAGGACTAGTTCGCAAAAGTAGATTTTTTAAATAATCTTGAATATTTAATGACCAGTTTGAGTCCTAGAGGCAAAGTTGTTCAAAATGAGATCTATCATATGATATGACGATCTAGTGTTTTTATGAATATATAAAATTATACATTTTTCTTTTATGCCAAAAATCATTAGGATATTAAGTAAAGATCATGTTCCATGAAGATATTTTGTAGATTTCCTACAGTAAATATATCAAAACTTAATTTTTGATTAGTAATATGCATTGCTAAGAACTTCATTTGGACAACTTTAAATGTTTTAGATTTTTTTTGCACCCTCAGATTCCAGATTTTCAAATATTGTCCCATCCTAACAAACCATACATCAATGGAAAGCTTATTTATTCAGCTTTCAGCTGGTGCATAAATCTCAATTTCGAAAAATTGACCCTTAAGACTGGTTTTGTGGTCCAGGGTCACATATTTAAATGGTTATTTTGAATATTTCTGTTTATATAAATATTGAGCAGTGTTGATGACCTTCGACCCTTGTGTCTGCAGGCCTTCGGTAATATCCTGAATCTGGTGCCTCTAGCGGAGAGCGTGGTCAAGCTGAACGCCGTCTGCATGCAGTGCTTCAAAGAAGCCGCTTACACCAAAAGACTCGGCGCTGAACAAGAGGTGAGGACAAATATCTCCATCTGGACACACACACGCTGTGCTTTACTTGTGCTCCGTGTCACATCCTCATCCTGTCAGCAGAAGTGAAACCTCACGGCATCTTGTGTTTGGTTTGCTCAGGTGGAGGTGATCGGCGGCACTGATAAGTATCACGCAGTGTGCCGAGCGTGTTACGGAGGTCTCGTGGCGTGTAAAGAGAACTGCGATCCACAGAGAGAGGAGACGCCGCCGCATGTGACGTCAGGAAAACAGCCCAATCAAAGCGCTCCACGAAAACTCTTCGCTTCCCTTCATTTATGAGAATAACACCTCAGCCGTACTGTATTACAGGAGCACTGTTACTACACAGATTTAACTCACTAGAGTGAGAATTTAGCACTTGATTTGTATGTTTGCTTGTGTTTTTTTTTTAATGCCTGATTTCCTGTATATAATAACTTTAACTCCTAGTTTAAAATATGGTGTTTTTGTATTTTTAGTTTAACCCCTTAAGTTCCACCCCCCCATTTTTGAACATAGACGTGAACGTGCACTATCCAAACTTAAATTATTATAATTCATGAAAACTTTTGGAAGTTTTCACAGACCTAAGGTTGGACTCCTATTTAAGAAGACAATCTGTGGAATGATTTTCAAAATATTAAAGTATTAAAGTTTTTTATTTTATATAAAGTAAATATTTTTTTGAATCCAAAATTGATATAAAATTAAAGCCTTGTGTCTAAATAAGTCATGTTCCAAATTTGAAGTTGATATTAAAAAAAATCGAGCTTCCTGTGAGAATTTAATGTAGGGCGTTATACCACAAACAGCCACCGGGTGCCACCCAAACTCTAGAATTTTTGTTGATGCATTTTTCTGTCACGAAGGTCTAAATTTCTAAAGGTCTAAAACAGTGGTCGCCAACCCGTTGATCGCGATCGACTGGTAGATCTTTATCACTGTCCTAGTAGATCCCGAAAAAAACAGTAAAATAAGTAAAAAAAAATGCATTACATTTCTGGGGTTATATTAATGCATCACTGAAGGGAACCGTCTTGAGAAAAGTTTCGATGGCAATGGCATTTTCTTCTCCGTATAAAGCGCAGCGCTGCTTTGTTTACAGACGTAACCAAGGAAACGCTATATTGCGGTCGGTTCATAAGCAGTGTGCCTCTAATTTCAAATGGCTAGATATTTTTGTTTAAAGCCAGTTTGTTTGTTATAAAGCAAATAGCCAATAAATAAATTTGCTTAAAAATCAGTATCAGAATCCAATTTGCTAGTAAAAAAAAAAAAGAAAGAAAGAAAAGAAAATCTGAATTCTGAATCAGCTGTGATCGGAGCATCACTAATTAAAATACTAAGTAAAAGGCCTCAAATTTGAAGTACAATCTGGGATGTCTTTTTCTATCAATTCTTCAGTAGGTAGATCTTGTCTTTCATAAAGGCCGAGGTCAGGGATCTTGGGCCTAAAAAGGTTGGTGACCACTGCTCTAAAATAACCACCAAATATAGAATCTTGAGACTCAGACCTTTCCAAATATATGTATTTTGTCAAGATTATAAAGACTGATTCTAAAAGACCATAATACATTTTGTAATATGACACTTGACTCCACCCACTAAGGGGAGGAGACTGCTAAAAGATTTTAAAGTACCTCTAAAAGATTATAAAGCACCATTTCTATGGTAACGCAATGTCCGATTTAAAAATGGTTTCCACAGGATGAATTCTGAGGTTTTAAGCTTTCAAATGATATATAAATGTATGATGATTACTAAAATATGTGATAGAGAAAAAAGACCTTGTGGGCCGGAGGCACTTAAGGGGTTAAGAAACGAGTCGATCATTTGTATGTATTTTAATTTAAACCATTTTAAACTAATTTATAATTGTCTAACAGAGCAACCAGCGGACACCACGAAACACTGCCAACGAGTGATGTATTATGATTATAATGAGTGAATAAAATTTGATTTGATTTTGAAATGTTGCATGTTACAACAAACATTTTACATTTATGCATTGAGCAACTGCTGCTTTCAATAGAGAATCAAAAGCTTTCTTATTTGTAATATACAATATCAGGTTTGTTGGATGACTAGATTAGGTAGCAAGCGCTAGAAGTCTTGTTTTCTGTGAAATTGATCAAATTGAAGTGAGTTTATGATTAAAACGAGCAAATGTCAACGGGCTCAGGAAAATCAACTTAGTCAAAGGAAAAACAAGTTTTAAGTTTGCATTCCCTATTGATAGATGTGTATAAACTTGTATTTTGTTAAATTTTTCAAGACTTAATTTTACATTTGCATCTCTGGCAAGAGTAGGTTTGATTGTGGCATTGGTGGGACGTAACGGCAGACAACAGACATTTAATTGTTGATCAAAATTATTGCTAGAGATAATTTATCAGTGGCTGATAATGCTGGGAACATGTCATAGCGTCTCTACTAGACTACAGCTGTGATCTCCAGTAAATGATTTAAGGAAGTTTAGATATTTGTACTGGAAAAGAAGAAAATACTGAGAAAGACATCAATTCAATGCAGTGCATGCAACATTTAATGCCATGATTTTATGAATTTAAGACTTTATGCTTTAAGGCGGATCAAGACTTTTTAAGACCCGCAAATCTAAAAATGACATTTTGTATCCAAAGGGTTGCATTCATTTATTTTTATTTAGAATATAAACCAGCGTTTTTGCTTTTAGCTGCACTTAAAGAATTGAAGCTGGTTATTCAGAGAAAACTGAGCTTAAAGACAACAAGAAACCGATTTAAATCAGTAACCTGAAAATACACATAAAGCAAACTGCAACTCAAACATTTAAATTTTTTTTGAAATATATATATATATATGAACATATTCCCAGATGATAAGCTTTGAAATGGTTGGTGTGCAATGGATAAACTTTACCAAATCAATGTTATATGGCAGGTAAACCAGAAAAACAGATCAAACAGAGATCTGCATCACAGTGTGTTTATGTGGATCAGTGAATGTTTTCATATCCAGAAACCAGATTTAGCCATGTAAGACTCAGTTTTTTACATTAAATCAGATCTGGAAGCAAATAAACGCATCACAGATGCTTCATTTACAGCCCAAAACCTCCATTGCAGCTTGACTGGATGTTTAAGCATGTAATCTGGTAATTGCACCACATTTCTATGGTGAATCACACCAGCTCTTCATTCACTAACACAATTAGTAAACGAAGTCAATGGGCTCTTTTTGTTTCCGTCACATTCCTACTCATTCAGCTGGGAAAACGTTAACAAACGCTGCTGCGATTCCAGTGTGAGCGACAGACCTGCTTCACAATAACTTACGGCTTTATTTCAGCTCATCGGTGCAAATCTGAACTCATCTACAGTCATGTAAATAAACACTTGAATGTTTACACATTTAAGGCCACGTGTAAAATGGCAAACAGTCTCCTATTGGCTGCCTGCCGAGGCTCCTCCCACATCCCGTGGTGTCACGTGACCTGGGTGTCGTGTTTCGGTTTCCGTTTCAGGACGGCTGCTGGTAGACGTCTGGACCAGTGTTCTGGAAGGACGGATACGTTAGCGGCGTGTAGGTGGTGGGATACAGTGACGTGGGGACCGCCGGCGGATCGGCGTAGTTCTGGGACACATCTGCATCACCCTGACGAAACCTCACCAGAGCGAAGTAACTTAACGCTCCCTGAGAAGACGAGAGATTCGTCTGTCAATCAACGACTTGAAGAGGGATTATGTGGCATTTAAGGAACTTAAAGGGATAGTTCACCCAAAAATTCTGTCATTAATCACTCACCCTCATGTCGTTCCAAACCCGTAAGACCTTCGTTCATCTTCGGAACTCAAATTAAGTTATTTTTTATGAAATCCGAGAGCTTTCTGATCCTGCATCGACAGCAATATAACTTACACATTCAAGGCCCAGAAAGGCAGTAAGGACATTGTTAAAATAGTGGTTCAATTGTACTTTTATGAAGCTACGAGAATACTTTCTGTGCACAAAGAAAACAAAAATAACGAAGTGCATCGTGGTACTCTCGTGAACGCGCGTCAAAGACCGACACGGAAGAGAAGAATCGTTGAATAAAGTCGTTATTTTTGTTTTCTTTGCGCAGAAAATGTATTCTCGTAGCTTCATAAAATTACAGTTGAACTACTGATGTCACATGGACTATTTTAACGATGTCCTTACTAAGTTTCTGGGCCTTGAACGTTTCAGTTCCCTTGCAGGATCAGAAAGCTCTCGGATTTCATCAAAAATATCTTAATTTGTGTTCCGAAGATGAACGAAGGTCTTACGGGTTTGGAACGACATGAGGGTGAGTAATTAATGACAGAATTTTCATTTTTGAGTGAACTAATCCTTAATAATAGTTAAGGTTTCTCATAACTTTTGGTTTTTGCAAGACACCACAGGTGAACAGGCTCAAAAAATGTGAACTAAGATATAAATATTCTTCCCACAGTTGATTAATCATTAAGACAATAAGACATTCAATTTTGTATTACAAGGTTTCTCAAATGTTATGTTTAAATATGCACTAATTTGCAAGAATTTCAAGAAAATAAATATGAATATTAATAACACTGAATATTATAATTCCAGATTCAAAGATTGTTTGATTTGATTGACATATAGTTAAAGGTTTTTACAGAAGGCATTTTGGATTTCTCTTTTCATCACTCCATAAACCAGAAAATACTGTCAACAGACAGAAAAAAATAATTTCCACCATATTTTTAGGAATAAAATGTTGTATAAATCAGTGTGAATTGATATATGAACAAACCCCTTAGTAAAAACCTTCAGAATATAGAGAGGAATAAAACTAAGTTTTGGTGTTTGTAAGTGCTGCTGAAGTGGAGAAAAAACTCATTTTGAGAAAACGCCTTTAAGCGACTTTAAAGATATGCACTGTAATTGAAATCTACAGACAAATAGATAAAGTGTAATAAAATAAACACTTAAAATTGTGTTTTGGATGTTTTCTTTCCACTAGTCTGAAAGATGACATGGAAGCAAAAGATACCAAAATTGACCTGTGCATGAAAAAATTGCATTAAATTGTAGGTTTATCTTGAACTGTGGCAGGTTGAAGTAGTTTGCGGTTCACACACACTCACCCACGATCCGATGGAGAAGAATGAGAAGGCGATGGCGGCGTGGACGGCATCCGTAGGGATGCCGCTGGTGTCTTGGGTCTTTGACCACTGATCCGCCATGAGACAGAAACACACAAACCACAGGAACGTCCAGGCACCTGATCAACACACAGCACCGAGAGCACAGATACGCGTCATCCATTAGACAATCAGAGACTCTTCAGACAACACATCAGGCATCTTACTGAAAGAAACCATTCACACAAAAATCAACATTCTTGTTTCACAGAAGGGTTTGGAACGGCATGAAGGCGAGTAAATGGTGACAGAATGAACAGGTGAAAAAAATGAAGTACAGTGTGAATGATATATGAACAAACCCCTCATTAAAAACCTTCAGAATATAGACAGGAATAAAACTGTAAGTTTTGGTGTTTGTAAGTACTGCACAAGTGGAGGAGAAAACTTTAAAAGATATAGAATTGCGTCTGAATTGAAATCTACAAATGCAAATAGATAAAATGTAATAAAATTAACACTTAAAACTGTATTTTGGATGTTTTCTTTCCATTAATATGAAAGAGGACATGTTATGGAAGCAGAATATCACTCCATGAATCAAAAAATACTTTCAAGAGCCAGAAAAAAACTAAATTTTCACTATATTTTTTAGGAATAAAATGTTAAATAATATGTTATATAATATAAATCAGTGTGATTGATATATGAACAAACCCCTCAGTAAAAACCTTCAGAATATAGAGAGGAATAAAACTTTAAGTTTTGGTGTTTGTAAGTGCTGCTGAAGTGGAGATAAAACTCTTTAAAGATATAGACTGTAACTGAAATCTACAGACGCAAATAGATAAAATGTAATAAAATAAATACTTAAAACTGTATTTTGGATGTTTTCTTTCCATTAATATGAAAGAACACATGTTATGGAAGCAAAATATCACTCCATGAATCAGAAAATACTGTTAACAGCCAGAAAAAAAAAAATAATAATTTCACTATATTTTTAGGAATAAAATGTTATATAATATGTTATATAATATAAATCAGTGTGATTGATATATGGACAAACCCCTCAGTAAAAACCTTCAGAATATAGAGAAGAATAAAACTGTAAGTTATGGTGTTTGTAAGTGCTGCTGAAGTGGAGATAAAACTCATTTTGAGAAAACGACTTTAAGCAAATTTAAAGATATGCACTGTAATTGAAATCTACAGACAAATAGATAAAGTGCAATAAATGTGTATTTTAGATGTTTTCTTTCCACTAGTCTGAATGATCATTTTTGTGTGAACTATTATTAAAATAGTATTAAAATATACTAATATTAACAGAAAGATTTGACAAAGCCAGTCAGTGATTAAACTAATCCAGCTAACTGAAGCCACAGAAAATACAGGACTTTGGTTTTAAACCCTGTAACAAGGGGGGCTCAGAATGGTGTAACATGATTTAAAATAAGACAAAACAAGCACTAAAATAAGATAAAGCAACCAATGATCAAGATATTCCATATTCCTTATTTTCACTATTTTAATTTTTTGAAATTAAACCAGATTTCTCGTAAAAGTCTTGGGAAACTTGGATATATGAGGAAGCTTCATTTTAAAAGTCTGATTTCAAGACTAAAAAAGTCATGAAAATAATTACATTTTAAAACACTATAGGCCTTTTTATAATGATGTACATTTATCTAGTTTTGCCAAGTTCTAAAATATTTTTTCAGGTAGAAATTGTGAGTAAAAATATTTTTAAAAATCATATTAAATAAATCAAGAACAACGGGAAAAGCCATCTAAATTCATTGGTTAAAAAATTAATTCAGCTTCTGGAATCCTGAAACCGAATTATTTTATTTATTTATTTAATTATAATTATTTTAATATACAGACACTCCTAGTTTATATTTGGAGGCTATGAATATGATTGTGGACAATGGCCTTTAAGTCAAAAAGATTAAGAACCACTGATCTAGAAGGCCAAGAATAAAATGCAACCCACATCATCATTTTTGTTATTATTTTGGATTTGATTTTTAGATTTTTAGATTTTTTTCACTTTAATTTTAGTTAAAGTTTTAGTAATCCTGTTGTGTGTTTTAGTCATTTTTTAAATGTCTGTGTACTATTTATTAATTTTAATGAATATTTTAGTTTCAGTTATTTTAGTACTTCAACTAAAACTAAATAAAATAAGAAACACTGTCATAACTAGCTGAAATCAAATAAGTTTAAGTTTTTTTATATTTTCATTTATTTCAGTTAATGTTTACTTTAAGTAACAAAATGGGTTCAATTGGATTTCATTTTAGTTAACTATAATAACCCTGATGTACATTAAATGACAAGTAGATGCCATTTAAACTAGTATATTAAAAAAAAACAGGATTGAAGCATTTGGCAACTCACTGATTCACAGAGCGACGTGCCTGTGTCAGTGAACAACCACAGGACGTTTCTCTTTTAGAGAATGATGCCACAAACAGGTCAAGTGGGAAAAAAAAGACTTTCACAAAACGGCACCACATTTTCAACAGACAGAACTGGGAAACTGATATAAACCTTGTCCACCGACACACAAATGACTTGAGGAACGTCTCACCTGAGAAGCCCAGATCAGCCATCACCACGTACTTCCTCTCCTGAGCATTGCTCATCGACGGAAGGAACGCATCAGCCAATAGGAAGGCGATGCAGGCCAGGAAGGCGATGACGCCGATGCCTACGCCGTAATGACACGCCCCTTCATTCCTGTTGAAGACACACTTCACCTGGTTTTCAGTGCTGCTGTTCACGTAACCTTCAGCGGTTATGGAGGCAAACACCACAATAGCGAACACCTGACATGAAGAGAAGTGAAAGCTGCGTCAGACCAATTAAAACAACCAGATCTTCACATTTTCTGAAGCAAAGTGCTTTCTAAATATTACACTTATAAGAACTTTAGCTCAGAAGTTCCCAATGGGGGATGCAAACACATTTGCATGATTTCTAACATTTCTCTAGGCAGACGTTTACAGAATTTCACCAGGATTCCACTAAAATAATAACTCAAGGATCTGAATGTTTGAAAGTTGAGGATTTAAAATAAATAAAACCTTTTTTTTACAGAACAACTGTAATTTACAACAAATATTTTTGTCTTAATTTTTGTAATTAGAGTATTGAAATGGGTGCCGTCAGAAAACAGCTGATAAAAACATCACAATAATCCACAGCACTTTTGGACTCTCATTCTGACGGCACCCATTCACTTGCAGTGAGACACTGATGCAATGCTACATTTCTCCAAATCTGACGAAGAAACAAACTCATCCTAACCTCAGATGCTCTCACAAAAATGAATTCTCGTTTTTGATCGCACTATTCCTTTAATTTTAAAAGCATGCGTCTGATTGAGTGTCATGTTATTGCTGCAGCCTTCTGACAAGTGTTACAATTCATACATTTTAAATTCTAAAGCAAACAACTCCTGAAAGAGAAATAAATGAGAAATGGATGAGCGTTCAGCGAGAGGACTTCGTTCTGTCGCAGGCTTCTCGTATTACTAGCCATCTGCTGTGTTTACATGTCAGCACTGGGATATTCTGTACTTGTGCACTGAATCACATGATTCACATGATCACAGACACAACTAACACACTGCTGCTGTGCAAATGTGTGTGACGCCGTAAACAAATTACACCGAGCAAATCTAGACATGGCTGACGAGGTCATCTGATGCCGTCACAGACCAGGACCAGATATGAATCAGTTCTCAGCGTCTGTGGAAAGCCCCTTCACAGCGGATCATATGCCTGAACAGCAAAATGAACTGTTTACACTAGTAAGCTGACTTAACAGCAAATTCAGCTCAGTCAAATTCATCAATCAAATGAATCAGTCAATCAATAGGATAACTCCGAAACAGTCAGAAAGAGAGACAGACTGTTGATTTCTGTCCTGAAAGTAAAGCATGCAGATTTAATCTTCATACATTTACATTATGTCAAGTAATGTTTATTTCTGTAGCGATTTATACAATACAAATTGTGCAAAGCAGCTTAAAAAACTGAGAAGTAACAGTTTTAATGTTGTAAAATGCATTATGAAACTAATTCAATGGCAGCTGTAAACTGTAACTGATTCAACTCAACAGCTTCAGGTCATCATCAATTATGAAACGCCTTCAAACGCAGCTCTTAACACATTAAGGGAACGTTACATTGTATCATTTTGCAAATATTATGAGAACGTTAGTTTTGAACGTTCCAAAACTACTAATGGTGAAATGGTAATGTACTAACAGTCAACTAAAACTTTTAGAAACTAAAAAATCGTGCCATGAAAGATACATAAATAACATTTTTGAGAACATTATTAAATACTAGATAACGTTGAATGAGCGTACGTCTGCAAGACGTCTGTTAAAGATCGCTTCATCTGGAAAGCATCTGCTGTGTACAAACATCTGATAGACGTCTCTAAGATGTCAGTTTTACATCATAAACATCTTAAAGACATCTTCTAAACGTCTATTTGACATCTGATAGGAAACGTCCTATAGATGCAGCAATCTCAGATGAGCAAACACTCTCAAAAATACGTCTTGCAGACGTCAAATAGTATAATAATGCTTTAAACCCATTTCACCCTGACCCTGCAGTCGATTATTGATCATAATGAGCAGATGAGTTGAACGTGACGCCTGTCACTCACCCAGCTGAGGAATCGTATGATCGTTTGAGGCTGTTTGATGAATTTGATGAGATCGAATCCCGCTCCGGCGAGAGAGGCTCCGTACGCCGCACTGTTCGACTCCATCGGTGAAACACACACTCACAGTCACACACACACACATAAGCAACAGCTGAAAACACAACACGGACACACACCACCGGTGCAGCTGCTTCCTCGCCAGATTCGCGAATGAATCGTTCTTTTAAACCGGATCTTATCGATGATTCACACCATCTAGACGAACGTAAAAACGAACCGTTCAAAAGAACCGATTCGCTGAAACGATTCAAACTTCGTGACGTTGAGTGAAAATTCAATAGGAGCAAAGTCTTCAACGTTACTACAAATCATTAGAGATTAAATTAAGGCAATTGAATGTTTAATAATGAGTTAATTAGGATATTAACACACACTGTAGATGAACAACAGCTAATGTGTGACTCAAGGACACACAAATCATCTGGTTTGTATCGAAACTTTAATCATTAAAATTAACATACTTGGCTTTATCAAAACATATCTTGAATTTATTAGTAATTTTCCCTCCCCAAAACGACACACACACACACACACACACACACACACACTCACACACACGCACACACACTCAACGCATGCACATTTACTTGTTTTAGACTTCAATTGTTTACAGCTAGTTATAAATATTATAATCAAAGAGAAAATTGAATGAAAAAGAAAAAAATATATATTTTTATAACATTTTTACAAATCAGGACATCCCCAAAAGGAGGTTTTGTCAGGTTTATCTCACTTCTAGGTACAAATTGTCTCCAAAATACAGTGAAGTAAGTACAAACACGCTCTTATTTGACATGAATCTGACAGTAGACATATTGTTGGCTGTCTTTGCTTCTGATTGGTCTCAGTCATGTCAACCCATGAGCGCTTGTCTATTGTTTCGGTTTGAATAAACCTCTGTCTGAACAGAATAACATGCAACGGATAAGTGAAGGCAACCAAACGCTTTCAGTTTCAGTGGATCTGATTAAACTCCCAGAAAACTCAAGATTTATTCTGAAACAGTGCCTTCAAAGACGGGTTCATCCTGTCAAACAGAACAAAATGACAAGTTTAATGTTTTTAAACACCTCTAGAACTACACCAGAATTGAAGTAGAACTATAATGGAAACATAGAGAAACCGCAGCTATCTGAAGAAAGTCTAGAAATAATAAATAACAACTCATATCTCCAACATCTCAAACAAAAGAATCACACACAAATGCTCTTTTACCAACTCTAACCTAGTAAGCTGCCTATCTAGACAATATTTTAAAGGGGTCATATGATGCGATTTCAATTTTTCCTTTCTCTTTGGAGTGTTACAAGCTCTTGGTGCATAAAGAAGATCTGTAAAGTTGCAAAGACTAAAGTCTCAAATCCAGAGATATTCTTTATAAAAGTTAAGAGTCAGCCACGCCTACCTAAAACGGCTCGTTCTAACACGCCCCCACATATCTACATCACTATGTGGGAAGATTTGCATAACGCCACCCAAATGTTCACGCAAAGAAAGAAGGCGTAACTTTTATTCTCGCTGGAGTATTCGTGGCTGACTCTGAACTTTTATAAAGAATATCTCTTTGGATTTGAGACTTTAGTCTTTGCAACTTTACAGATCTTCTTTATGCACCAAGAGCTTGTAACACTCCAAAGAGAAATTAAAAACTGAAATCGCATCATATGACCCCTTTAAATTCCAGCTTTAGAGTTAAACGACATGAGCACAGTGATGTCGCTGTCTGTTGAGTCTCAGATGCGCATAAAGTTTTGTCAAACAAACATCGTGACGTCGCACTGTCATGGCGGCGAGTGGCTCGGCTGTGTCGGTTTTAACTCCGAATGGAAGAAGACAGACTGTCAAAGTGTCTGCAAACACACCTTTATTACAGGTACGAGCTCACACACTCGTGTTTATTCACGCATCTGATCGCGGAGGCTGTGTGTGTGTTTAGCGGCTCAAACCCAGCGCGCGGCTCGGACAGTCGCCTTCTGACTACAGTCGCCTTCTGACTCAGCCGAACTGGAGAGTTCCCTAACTAGACAGCATGTGTGGGCAACACGGGGGCATTACAAGTGCTACCTATGTAACAGGCTGTCTATCTGGAGTGTATATTGCGCGTGCCACAGTTTTGGCGCATTCAGAACTAGTAAGCTCCCTACCTAGTGCACTAGACGTTAATGTACAACATGACAGGCCAGATTATTAGGGTTTGAGACACATCTGGTGCTGTTTTTTTTTTAAATAAACAGGTTAAAATGAATATTAAATAATGAGTTTTATATTTATACTAATGTGTTAGACTATTGTTTTTCAGACGAATACCTAGAAACCATATAGTTATATTTTTACCATGGTATTGAGGTGCTGTATGTGTGGTTTAACTGTGGTTATCATGATCTAGAACATGTTTAATCTTGCAGGTTCTTGAGGATGTGTGTAAGAAACACGGCTTTAATCCAGAAGAACACGGACTCAAGTGAGTGTAACCTGAAACAATACCTTCATACATAATTTATTATCATATACAATTGTACATAATATATAATAAATAATAATATAATTATGTAATATGTATCAATTAAAATTGTATATAAA